AAAGCTACTCAGCCTATAATCCATAACCCCAGAGAAGCTTGAACCCTCTTCCAGATTCAGATGGAAGCAGATGCAGAAATCTACAACTAACCATTTAGCCAAACTCCTGGAGTACAATCAAAGTGAGGGAGGAGCGATAATATGAACAAAGGATTCAAGACCATGATGGGGAAACCCACAGCATCAGCTGACCTGAGCTAGTGAGAGATCACTGACTCAAATCTGACAAATGAGGAACCTGCGTAAGACCAAACTAGACTCCCTTAATAAATAGGGGACAATGGTGTAACTGGGACAATAAGGCCACTGGCAGTGGGTCCAAGATCTAACAGTAATGCACAAACTGACTTAGTAGAGCCCATTCTATTTGAAGAGATACCTTGTCCAGCCTAGACACAGAGATGTGGGGTGCCTTGGTTTTGCCTCAACTAGATGATGGGACAGACTTAGTAGACTTCCTAGAGGACAGGAGTGGGAGAGAGGGGAGAGGAGGGAGGAGGAAACTGGGATTGGAATGTAAAAAACAAATTAATAAAAATGCAAAAAGACAGTATTTTCCTATAGAGATTTGTAGTTTACATCTAATCCTTTAGTGTTATGATTGAAATGGGAAGGCTAGAGCAAACCTGAAAAATAGCAATAGAAAAGCAATGCTTTAACTGGTGTGCTAAAGTGCCTAAGAAAATCGTTCTCACAGAGCAGTCAAGGTATTTAAATAATCCACAGCATTCAAAATGGTGATCCACATAACCAATGGTAAGGATGGGGTTGTGTTATATAATAGTGCTTGTTTTAAAGGAATAAAATACCTCATATATTAACTGCGCATATGAGATCAAAACTATTCAGATAAAAAAACCAAGTGAGCAAATAACAAAATACAGGGGACAGCACTTGCAAAAAAGCAGGCTATTGTGTGACTATCTCCTCCTGGTTGAAACATGCCCCACTGACTTAAGACAACTAAGGTGATGCAGGCCTACAAAGCTCTCATCAAGTTACAAGAATCTCAGAGACCCTCAGGGGCAGCTAACTCAAGTTGTTCCCACATCTCTACGCACACAGCTTTGGAAAGTCCTCATCCATGCTGGGTGGGCTTTTTGGTGATGCAGTAACTAACACCTATTAGTAATGCCAATAAACTCATTGGTTCACTAAGTAAGACTTCCATGGGACCATCTCTTTGGTCTGCTGGTGGTGTCCTATTTAGGGCAAATAGATGATTGTTCCTGTCCCCCTCCAAAAGTCAACACAACAAAGCTCTTTTTTTTTTTTTTTCCAGGAAAGCAAAAGGGATTTTTGTTTGTTTTCCAAAGTGACATTTATCTAAAAAGTGAAAGTCCCTAGGAACTGGATCTAGATTACGTTCCATATTTTGTTATCATTTTCATTTATGTAAAGTATTTTCAAAGAAATTTAAAGTGTCAAATGAGAAGACACAAGACCACTCCTATGATCTGTGCATATGAGAAATTTGTTTTAAAAAGTCACAAAATATTGGTATTCAAGTTGTAATTTGGAACTAGCACACCTCTAGTGATAATACCATGCTTTTCAAGGCTGTCTAGAGCACAATGTGAGAGCAAACCAGGAGTGCTTGCGTCAAAGTAAGTCTATGTGCATCAGGTGTTCCCATTTAACACGGGAAAAAACAAACAGCAAGCATGGCTTAAAACTACACCAGATTAGTTATCTATAATGAGATCCAAGTACAGTAAATATTACTTAATGAGCTGACAAATCTATTAGTGAATCCATTCCTGAGTCGATTTGACAGGACGAAAGGGTTATTTATTCAGTAGGTACCAGTTGAATAAAAAAACAATTTTTTTCCTGTTTGTTATAGAAGCCCAAATACTAATGCTTTGGGAATCTGTCCATATGACACAAGGGCTCCTAGAACTGCTTTGTGGTTTTATCTGAAAATGTTTTTCTTCTTATTGTATTTTTGAGTCAAGTGTCAAGGTCTTCCAGGTATTAAAAATCACAACATAATTCAAACTGTGAGTAACACACAGAGAAAAAGCACCCATCTCCATTTCTGTCACTGCATCACTGTCTGTTATGACCAAGGATTTCTTCCTGTCGTCATATGATATGTGATATGATAGTGAACATGTCCTGGCACAGACTTCCCATTAAGCCCAGGTTTTTTTTTTTGTTTTTTCGAGACAGGGTTTCTCTGTGTAGCTTCGGAGCCTATCCTGGCACTCACTCTGGAGACCAGGCTGGCCTCGAACTCACAGAGATCCTCCTGCCTCTGCCTCCCGAGTGCTGGGACTAAAGGCGTGCGCCACCAACGCCTGGCTAAGCCCAGGTTTTAAACAAATGTTTACATAAAAACCTTTTTATTGCAGACTGGAATTTGTTCCTCCATTTCCTCTTTTGTCCATTCCCAGGAATTTTGTTCTACTGTGAAGAAAAACTCTCCCACCTCGCCCCCCACCACCAAGAAACACAGCAACCTGAGGCATGTGGAAGGCTTAGGCAATAAAGAACTCTGGTCTCCACACACGTGCAAACATCCTGCAAGAACATGCGTATGCACACACACACAGCAAGCCAGCCCAGAGTAAGAGAAGAGCTTGAGGCATCTGCCATTTACACCATAGAAGACTGACATAAGTAAGCCCAAGAGACAGACAACCAGCATCTTAGGTTTTTGGAAAACACAAATGTTACTAGAGAGCAACAAATGAAGATCAGCTGAGAAAGGCAGGCCATACAGATGATAACCCTCAAATGAGACTTTCTGAAAGCACACAGAGTAACCCTAAAGGTCCAGCCACTAGACACACTGTGAAGCCAAGCATGGTGATGCAGGTGGGAGGCTCAGGCTGCATGGTCACTTGGCCTCCCCCTACACACACACACACACGCACGCACGCACGCACGCACGCACGCACGCACGCACGCACGCACGCACGCACGCACGCACGCACGCACGCACGCACGCACGCACGCACGCACGCACGCACGCACGCACGCACGCACGCACGCACGCACGCACGAGCTCAAGTGCTGGAGAAGTCCAATGAACTCAGTATCTAGAGAATACAAAAACAAACAAACAAACAAAAACAATAAAAAAACCCCACAAACCCCATTCTGGGTTCACAGCAAAAGGTGAAAATGAAACAGAACGTATTAGGCCCCTGCACTCAATGGCTTCATTACTGCATAGACTCCTGCAGAGAAAGGCTGGTCTCAGGCACTTGTTTACACCAGTGGGAAGAGCCAGTGCATGGCAACCAGACAACAGCTAATTGCAACCCCATTATCATTTACTGGAAACAACTGTAGATTTCTGAAATTTTTTTTATTCCATATTTTGTCAGTTACTTCAGTCTTCAGAACAACACTGAGGCTTTCCCAACCCACCTGAAAATTGTTAAAAGTAAAAGAAAAAAAAGCGGTGGGGGGGCACCTTGTTTCCATTAGATTATCGTCTTAAGTGTTGCTTTCTCAGCACAGTGAACCAGATGAAGATGGAGACTCTGAAGACAGTGAACATCTCAAAGCTGCTGGAACCCTGATATACCACAACCCATTGTTTCCTCACACCAATTGCTTGCTATTATCACTGGAGATGAGAATTACATACTGTACCATACTCTCTCCAGCAGAACCTAAGGCTGGGAGTAGAAGCAGCACACATCAGCTTGAAAATGTGTTTTTCTGTCACCACCTTGAAGCTTTTCAGAGCAAATCTGATCTGGGACCAAAACTGTCCTGGCCACTCCCTAAGTACAGTGGCCCCTCTGTCCCAAGCCTGCCAAGGAATTAAATGTGCACCAGATTTCTGCTTAACATTAATTACTACACAAACCCAAACCGCACGTTCTCCAGTGAATTATGACTGCAGAGCAAGCAGCTTCACGATGATGAAACGTGGCTTTCAATTTTTTACTCAGCATTATGCATTTTGCTTTTGTCATGCTGGAGACTGAGCCCAGGGCCTCTTGTATATTAGGTAGGCATTCCACCCCTGAGTTATAGGCCCAGTAGATCGTTTAACATTTATGTAAAGACGGTGGAGGGATACACCTGTCATCTCAGCTACTTGGAGGAGGATCAACTGAATTCAAAAGTTCAACACTAGCTTGGTCAACACAGAGAGAGATCTCTGTCAAAGCCGAGTGTGCTGTGGAATAGTAATCCTTTTGTACCCTGTAAAGATTTGTCACTTGCATTGGTTTAATAAAGCGTTGATTGGCTGATAGCCAGGCAGGAAATATAAGTGGGGCAATCAAACTGAGGATGCTGGGAAAAAGGGTGGAGTCAGAGGAGACACCAGCCAGCCGATAAAGCAGGTATAGAAAATGAGGTAACAAGCCATGAGTCACATGGCAAAGCACAGAAAAGAAACATGGGCTACATTTAAGTGTAAGAGTTAGCTAGTAACAAGCCTGAGCTATCAGCCAAGCATTTATAATTGATATTACGTCTCTGATTATTTGGGCAGAGGCTACCAGCTATTTGGGAGCAGGCAGTCTGGACAAGAAAACTCCCACCTACACACGTGTAGTGGCATGCCCTTATGTCTTCAGAACTAAGCAGGCTGAGGTGGGAAGGCCGCCAGCATTCATGAGGTGGAGAACAGACTAGAAGTGAGGCTACATTTCAAATGAATAAACTTAATGTCAAATTTAGTGAAAACACTGAAAGGAATTCTCTTCCTTACAGTGTTTTCACATCTGTCAAGGGGCTTCAAGCTCTGCTCTCCAGAAAAGCAAAAGATCAGACTGAGGCTCCAGAGCCTTTTATTACATTACCTTCTGTAAGGATAACCTGGGTGAGAGAACCATCACATTCCCAAGGAATTACTCTGGGGTTATTAAGGCATGAAGCCTCTAATTGTTTTCATACGGCACAATGTAGCTCAGATTATATGTATGTCAGGATTTGAACCAGAGTCTAAAAGCACTGACCTGCTCCACCACCAAACTCTATCATCCACATTTTAATGTGTGAAGAATTTCAGTCAAAACACAAGTCTGCACTGAGCATATGTGGAAAGTTATTTAATTGTAAAATAGAAAAGGAGGCCAGAGTACAGTCTTGAAGGTAATTGGTTCTTTATACAGATAATCTAGAGTAGTTTTGGGGTTAAACATTTTCATAAAGCAATAAAACAAACAAAAAAAAATAAAGAGCTTGAAGTTACACTTTACAAAAAAGAATGGAATAGTCTGTCGAATGTCCACACACTGTGGAACTGACAACATTGTGATGAGACTGAGTTGCAACACAGGCCTGGAACTTTTACAGGGAATATCGAAAGTTACATTAGACGTATCTATAGCATCACTGAGTACAAAAAGTTCCTGTTCTACATACAAAAGCAATTTTCCATAAGAATAATTTCTTGGGGGGGGGGGAGTTAAGTCCATGAAATATTTCAGAAACCCAAATGCACTGAGTTTGCCAAAAACATTATCTTAAAATCCAGCGCCTCAAAGTGCTCATGTGGAAATCATGATGGAAGGCACAGAATACAGTCTCACGTCCCCACAATGGAATTTTCCAAAAAGCATACATTTTTTGCAGATTCAAATTCTCTTGCAAGCTGCTCCTTCCAAGAACATTGTCACGGTTGCCAGTAAAATCATTGCTAGCTTACTAACTTTCGGTGACCAACAGAATGACAGTGGTGCCTTTTATATTTCTCGGTAACTTTCATCGTCTTTGTGGGAAACATATCTAAGCAAGTGATGCGTTTTAAAATCATAAAACATGCAGAATATGTACAAACAAAATTTTAAAAATATTTGCTTCATATACATGTAAATCTACTTGCATGTAGCTGAAATTGAACAAATATAAAATTTCTGCTTCCTAAAAAATGTTTTCAGAGAACCTGAGACAACTTAAAAGCTGTACAAAAGTTCCTGGGAGAAATCTCTTTGCAGAGTTATTTCCAGCATCAGTCCACCATAATTATTACACATTTGGTCTAACTGACAACAACCACTTCTGTTTCTGAGAAATGAAGTCTGTACCCAAATCAAGAATTACTTGTAACAGTGCCTTACTGTGGTTTTTTTTTTTTTTTTTGGATCTCCTCAACAATCTTTTATCAACTCATTTGTAACTGTAAAAAAAGAAACAACCAAAAAACTATTTACAGAATTCAGTTTTAAATACATTTCACAAGTTCTAAAGTTTTTTATATTACAAGAATTCAGAGCTCATGGCTTAAGTCCCATTATCAATCTGTAGTATTTTCTATTATCCGGTATTCCATGGCTGTGTCCTTACTGTGTACAGTTCAAGACTGCATTCATTCTGGACAAAAGGTAAAATCAAACTCCTGTTCTCGGTGGCTAGACAGCTTCTTTGTTGGTCTGGAGGCGTGTCATGGCCTCTAGCTTCTGCCGGTAAGCTTCTGCCTCTTGCTCCTTCTTGAGCAGCTGCTGTCGGTATTTCTGCGCCTCACGGTTTGCCTCATCCAGCTGTTTCTGAAGTGCTTCTCTCTCCTAATTTAGAAAAGAAAGTTGTGTTTTCAATTTTTACACAAATATATTAACATAATCATGTATCCTTCAAAAAAAAAAAAAAAAAAAAACAGAAAAAAAGACAGACAAACAAAACACGGTGCAGTGGCCACAGCAGCTGCGTCCTGAAACCTCTAAGACTTTTTTTTTTACCTTTTCAACCAATTCACAAGTAAACCCCCAGTTTTGTTCTCTGTATTATAAGATGGAGATTATTCTCTAATTCCAAGAAAATTATTTCTAATTTATAAGAATAGGATGAACACAAAATGTGCACTGTACTTCTGTATGTCCTGAAGAAAGTACTAGAAGACTTAAAAGGAAATTATATAAGACTACCCCTTATCTCTACTCAGACCACAGTCACACAGCTGGGCACCTATCACACGCCTGAGCAAAGGCAATTCCATTACTTGCTTTCTCAATGAGAATAGTAATGCTCAGCAATGACGTAACCTTCCAAAAAACACCGTGAGAATTGGGTTTATGGGTTTCAGATGTTACTAATTTCAAAACAACCCACGCTCTTCTACACCACCAAGCAAAACACCTAAACTCCATCATAATGGCTGTTGGTCTGGACTTGCAAAGTTATACAGTGGGCAGTCCATAACAACCTTCTACTGTTAAACAGGTATGAAAATTTAAATGCTCAGTTATTAAGAGCCAGTATAAACAAACCCAGTACAATGAAAATAAGTTTACTTATTTCTTCTCTTCACGGAACCTCTATTATCAAGGAAAAAGAGACCAACACTTCAAAGAACCCTTGTGTATACCTGTAGTAAGCACATGAAGAAAACCTAATCCACACAGCCCGAGCTCGGCTCAGGGAAGTTTCCTGTCTTAGGAATGAGTTAACCTCATCACAAAGATCTATGATCTGCTAGTGAGGGAGGGGCCAGAACATAACTATGAGTTATAGAAAAGGCCAGGTTTACACTGAGCAGCACACATGCCCTGTGGGAGAAGGCGAGGGAGGTCCTTAAGGACAGTCTGAGGGTCTCCTCCTATATAGCCACTGCCTCCCGACCCCAGCTCATTTTTTTTTTATTTAAATTAGAACAAGCTTGTGTTACATGTCAATCCCAGTGCCTTCTCCTGCCCCCCACTAACCCCCTATCCCGATCCCTTTCTGCTCCCCAGGGAGGGCGAGGCCTTCCATGGGAGATCTGCAAAGTCTGACACCAGCTCATTTTAAGCACCCAATGACTGCCTCTGCTGTACTGCTCAGTTGCTCCTACCAGGAGTAACAAGCAGTTCCCCTCCCCCACATCAACTTTCACCCCATGATCCCACCCACGGTCCTATACTAAGAATGAAGTTAGATTTAATATTTTTCAGATTCCTATGGGTCCACCAGATATGGGAGTGACGGAGAAGTCCATTAAAGGAATGCCCTTTATTTCCAGTTCCAGCAATACCCAGTCTCTACCCTAACACCTTACATTGCTGCTTCCCTTCACTTAGACCTTTCCATAATGCTAGAAAAGGCGGCATCCAGAAAGATGGAAGTTGGAAACACCTAAGAATCAAGCCTCAGGGAAGCAATCAACATTGGAACTGGCTGTGACCTGTGTAGGACTTTGAGCTTGCCAATGATCAGGGGTAGGGGTGAAGGGTCAGGGCTTGGTTGTGTTTGCCTAGGAGTAAGACCTAGTTCTGGGAGGAGCAGGCTTAGCTTGCCCTGGCAACACAGACACTACAACTGGAATGACACAGAGGTTAGCACAGCCCTAGTCCAAGGACAGCAGGCAAACTCAAGACACGTTCCATAGTTTCCCTCCAGTTCCAGGAGGCACTGATGCCTGAGCTCTCCAGGCACCAGCACTATGGCTACACACATACACATAACTAAAAAAAGGATAAGATAAAATTTTTTTTTAAGTTTCCATGCATTAAGAAATAAGATCTTGGGGCCTAGAGAGATGGCTCAGAGGTTAAGAGCACTGACTGCCCTTCCAGAGGTCCTGAGTTCAATTCCCAGCAACCACATGGTGGCTCATAACCATCTGTTATGAGATCTGGTGCCCTCTTCTGGTGTGCAGATATACATGGAAGCAGAATGTTGTATACATAATAAATAAAATCTTAAAAGAAAAAAGAAATAAGATCTTTTTTGTCTTATTTTGACAGTCAAGGTTTTGAATATATATAAAATTCCCGATTACATAGGAAGTATTACAACAAACTGACTGTAAGGGATCATCTAATATTAGCTATTTATTAACATCTGGCATTTGCAAGGAGTTTACCATCACTGCAGAAGACAAAAGCAAAGGACTGAGACAAATAGTGTAAAAGTGAAATGGCTTAATCCTATCTTCCTTATCTCACTTCACACACACACACACACACACACACACACACACACACACACCACGAAGCTGGGGCTCAAACATGGGACCCCACACATTCTAGTCTAGGCAAGTATTCAACCACTGAACAGTAAGTAAAATACATTTTAATACAAATAACTCCCTCTCACCTACTAGGCCAAATAAGAAACTCACTTCAGCTGCATTGTTTTTTTGTCTAAATCTGTAAAATGTAAAGATAAAGAACCTTAATATTTGTTGGATATGCTGAATATATGATTAATACACAGACTTTTGGTGTTGTACCTTTGACTTCTCAAAAATGTAGGAGTATGGAATGAGAAATTGTTTGCCATCTCAGTTTTCAAAGCAAATAAAAGTCTGAGAAATGGAAAATGTTATTTTACCAGAGACCTTTGTTTCTGATGCATAGTAACTAAACATACTTTAAGAAAGACAGTTTCTTTACATAGCAGTGTTTCACACATTAATAGTACAACAGGCTGACAGTTGAGATTTTTATTTAAGTATAAATGTTAATCCTGTGGATTTAATATTTTATAGTAAAGCCACACTGATTTTTATATTTTTTAAAATTTATTGTGAGCTTGTGTGTACTCATGTGCTATGGCACATATGTGATCAGGGAAAACTTTCTGGCGTCAGTTTTTTCCTTCTACCGTTACACAGACTTGGGATCAAACCCAAGGTGCCAGGCTTGCACAGTGAGTACCTCTACCTGCTGAGCCATCTTGTTGACCCAATTTTGATATATTACTGTGTTACTCTGTGTAAACTGGTACAGGTTTTTTGCCTGCATGTGTGCCTGTGCACCATAAGTGTGCAGTTCCTATGGAGGCCTGAAGAGGGCATCAGATCTCCTGGAACTGGAGTTACAGATTATTGTGAGCTGCCATGTTGGTGCAGGGAACTGAACTTGGATCCTCTGACAATGGAGCCAGTGCTCTTAACTACTGAGCCATCTCTCCAACCTCCAACTTTGATAATTTCATGAAACAATAACTTAATCAGTTAATATGTGATGTTCTAGGGATGGGTTGTAGCTGCTCAGCATGCAGGAAGCTCTGGGTTCAAATTCCAGCACTGCAGGAAAAGAAGTCTAACATCACAGACCTCTAAGAAAACGAAACTCTAGCAATAATCAACATTGACAGCAACAAGATACACCATAACCCTGAATCAGTACATTAGGCCACAACCTAAGACAACAGGAGATTTCAGCTCTCTTTATTTTCAAAGGTGATTCTCTAATTCTGCCTTAAAAGAAATAGCATGGACAATTTGACCATTTTAATATATAAATTTCTAATACTCAAATTTATGTATTTGTTCTAGCTATTATAAACTGAAAGATACAATTATAATAGTTTATCATCTACCTCAACAGATATTTTAGCATAATCTTGTTAATAAATATCACTGAGAATTTACTGTATGTTAACCATTGTACTCATCCTGTATTTGTCCCCATTTCATCTTTTTCTTTCTTTGAGACAGAGTCTCACTATGTAGCTCTGGCTGGCCTGGAGTTTACTATGTAGACCAGGCTAGGCTCAAACTCACAAGAGGGGACTGAAGGTGTGCACTGCCAAACCAGGCTTTTCTTTCACTTAATATCCAAAGCAATCAACTGCTGGTGCTGTTCACTTTCTGTCTTCTTGATGCAGAGGTCATGGCTTGAAATGGCAAGAAGGCCACAGTCACACACTCAAAATATCAGAAAATTCAAACCTACAGTTAAGTCCAAGCCCATATTCCTAACTAAAAATTAGGTTTATTTTAAAATTTTAACTTACTGTTATTACTATTACTGTGTGTGTACAATGAGTATGTTTGCAATGTGTGGAGGTCAGAGGACTACTTTGTAGAGCTGAGTCTCTCCTTTTACCTTTACATGGGTTTCAAGGATCAAACTCAGTCACCAGGCTTGCATGGCAATCATTACTTGCTGAAACACCTTGCCAGCCCAACACACAATCCCACACACCACACACACAACACACACACACACACACACACACACACACACACACACACACACACCACAGCGCTTTATTTTTAATTATGTGGTACTTAAGTGTCTGTGTAGGATTGTATGCATGTGAGTGCAAGAATCTATGTGGCCAGAAGCTGTCAGATCCCCTGGAGCTGGAGTTACAGGGAGTTTGAGCATGAAAATGCAGTCCCCCACTACCACAAATTATGCCAAGTTTTCCACATTTGGAGAAATTACGGGAGGTAGCACATCCACACCATAGTGGATGAGCCTTGCTTTGGGGAAAAATAACTTCATGATTATGGTATCTCCCTTGGCAGGTATTAAAGATTTATTTTTTTTAAGATTTTATTTATTTATTATGTATGCAACATTCTGCTTCCATGTATATCTGCACACCAGAAGAGGGCACTAGATCTCATAATGGATGGGTGTGAGCCACCATGTGGTTGCTGGGAATTGAACTCAGGGCCTCTGGAAGAGCAGTCAGTGCTCTTAACCTCTGAGCCATCTCTCCAGCCCCTAAATTTTTACTTTTTAATCATTTTTATTTGTGTGTGTGTGTATGTGGGGGGGGTATGCACTTGAGTAAAGGTGCCTATGAAGACTAGAGGTGTCAGATCCCCTGAAACAGTTGTGAGCTGTTTGCAGGTGTTAGAAAGTGAACTCAGGTCCTCTGCAGGAACAGCCAGTGCTCTTAACTGCTGAGCTTTTCCTTTAGCCTCAAGTCCCAGTTTTTTTAAGGAGAAAAGCTAGGCCAGGTATCTATCTGAGCTATTTGCTTGCACATAAAAATCAACCGTCCAAATGAGATAAATGTTGATTTTTATAAATGTAGCTCTTAGCGGGGCTGTGGTGGCACAGGCCTTTAACCCCAGCACTTGGGAGGCAGAGGCAGGCCTTTGTAAGGCAGAACTCTGTGAGTTCAAGGTCAGCCTGGTCTACAAAGCTACAGAGAAACCCTGTCTCAATCAACCAAAAAAAAAAAAAAGAAAAAAGATAAAAGAAAATTCTTATAGCCAGTCACTCTGTCAACTGTGAGCACAAAACAGAGAAAGCCCTGTAAAAATTGTGCATGAGTTAACTTTTATGTTTATCTTTTTTAATCTAAGCATTATTAATATGCTTGAATGACATAAATTCTTTTTTGTTTTTTTTCAAGACAAGGTTTCTCTGTAGGTTTGGAGACTGTCCTGGAACTCTCTTTGAAGACCAGGCTGGCTTCGAACTCACAGAAATCCACCTGCCTCTGCCTCCCAAGTGTTGGGATTAAAGGCATTCGCCACCACCACCCCACTGAATGACATAAATTCTTAATGCTGTCCTGGGTATCACAGGGTGCCAACCCAGCCTCTACCCACAGTTGTGACAACCAAAACTGTTTCTAAACATTACCAAATATCCCTTAGGTTAAGAATCTCCCCACCTGAGAATCAGTTTCACAAAAGCTTTTGGGGTTAAAGTTTGGCCAAAATGTCATCTAAGCTAGCTGCATAAATGTTTTTTCCTAAGATAGTTCTATTGCTATCAAAGAATATACATGTAAAAGAGTGACTTCATGTGTTATAGGAAAAGTTACTTGGCCTGACACGAACACTGGGTGTCGAATCCTTATCTCGTGACTCCAGATGCCTCTACCTCCCAATCTCCCTAAAGCTTACTTCTTGGCTCCACTTAATTAGTGCATCTTAATTCCTACTCTCTTGTTTACCTGGAATTATATCCTCTCATCTCTGGAAGACTAGAAAAGGGAGCAGACTGGACTTGGTAGGAAACAGGCCTGCTAGTCATTAATAAAGGGACAGGCTAAAATCACTATTGTTTAATAAACTGTTAGTGGTGGTAGTGGTGGTGCACACCTTTAATCCAGCACTTGAGAAGCAGAGGCAAGTGGATCTTTGTGAGTTCAAGGCTAGCCTGGTCTATACAGTGAGTTCCAGGACAGCTAGGGCTGCACAGAGAAAACCTGTCTCAAAAAACCAAATAAATAAACTGTTAAATAAACTTACATTTAATGGCATTCAAATAATTTAAATGTTTTATTATATAATAGAAACAAAGTAATGTTTTTTTTTCATTTTCTATGCTCCAAAGAGACCATCTAACAATCAGAAAAGGATAACAAAGAGAACCTTAGGAGTGAGGAGATGCTCAGCCAGTAATGCGTTTGCTGTGCAACCATGAGAACCTGAGTTTGGATCTCAAGGACCCATGTAAAAAGCTGGCATGGTGCACACTTGTAATCACAAGTGCTGAGGGGCAGAGACAGGAGGACCCATGACGCTTGTTGCTCCCCTCAACCCATATCCCAGTCTAGCTGAACTGGTGAGCTCCAGGCTCAGTGAGGGACCCTGTCTCAAAAGCACAAGGTGGAAGCTGGGGAGATGAATAATAGGTTAAGTGCATTTTCTGCTCTTGCAGAAAACTTAGGTTCTGTTCCCAGCACTCTCATGGTGGCTCACAGTTTCAGGGTATCCAATGACCCTAGCCTCTACAGACACCAGGAACACACATGGTACACATACATACAAGCAAAATATTCATGCACATAAAACAAAGGTAATTTTTAAAAAAGAAAAAATAAAAACAAGGAAGAGAGTGACTAAGACACCCAAAATCAACCTCTAGCCCCACATGCATGCACACATATACCACACACACACAAAAGTGAGGAAAGAAATAAGATGCTGTTTAGTGAAGTAAGTTTTTAGTTTATGAATCAGAACTGTCCTATAGGTGTCACTTTATTTTGGGAAATAAAACATCATACTCCATAGTTAAGACTTAAACTTTTACTAGACATCCTGGCTAAGCCATCAGCCAGATTCTTTTGTGTGTGTTGTGTACTTGTGTGTGTTTTTAAGACAGGCTTTACTCATAACTAGACTCTGTTCAGTTCAATACTTGTGTGAGAATGTACCTGCCTGCTGTTTAAATACATGAGAATATATTCTAGCTGTCTTTAATAAGATTGTGTTGCCATTCATTTACCAAACAAAACAACCCCCTGCCCTATAACCAGAGCCTTTGACAAGAACAGCTAAACAATCAACTTTAGACACATCAGATGCACTGAAAGTAAAGAGGGTGCATTTTTACCCATGCTCATGAAAACTGGGAGAAAATAAAACCCAGACTTAAAGGTGATAGGTCAAGAACTGGAGCAGTTTATAGTTCAAAGCTGTTTCTATTGCATTTGCTTTTCAAAGTTATGTAAGAATCATGTTTTGTGTGAGATATTATAAATTTGGTAGATGGAATTTTATTTATAGTCATCTAAGACAAATTTAAGAGATTATGATTTGTTACACCAACAAATGAGTTTGGGAGAGGAAAAAGGCTAGATGTTATCAATAGTCTAAATTAACTCAATTTCCTCAAAGGATGTACTAGTAAAATAATCAGTTATCTTTCACACTTAGAAACATAATCCGTTTAGCAAATATCAACTTTCGGTAAGGGGATTTCCAGGCCAATCAGGGTGAAGCATTCTTGAAAGAAAAAAATTTTCAGTCTAAAAGAATATCTTCCTTTAGTGACTTGAATGAAGAATGGTATACAAGAACCAAAGACAATCCTAGTGTTACCAGCATAATACACTTTGTTACAAACAAATTCTTCACTTATTCATTCATTCATCATTTATTTATTGAGGGCTTGCCATATGCATGAGGCCAAAAAGTTAAACAAAATGACGACACTATTCACTTTCATTCTTTATCAAAACATGGCCAGTAATAAATATAAATGACAAATAATAATAATGATAAAAAGAAACAATTCATTTTGGATGGCTGCAGCAAAACACACCGGGTAAAAGGCTCCTTACTTCAATTTCTGCAGACTCCACCCGGCTCTCCATTATCTCCGTACACTGCCTCTTAGCTGGTGGCTCTTCACTGATGACAGTCTCCTCAGCAATGTCTGTTGCTGGCACTGTCAACACTAAAATGAAAAAGATGGACACGTTACGTCACACCAGACAACTAGGAGATAAAGTTTTGATGCTATTGGTATTACCTGCCTGCAGCAAGCAGCCTCGGTTATTTCCAAACACTGCTCTTGTATGAAGGTGTCCCTATTATTCACCTTTAAATTCTCACTGAGGCCCACTTACTGAAGTGACTACTGATGGCAATTTTATACATAACATACTCATTCATACAGCTGAGAGGTCAAAATAATATTAAAGACGCATATTTTAAGAGGTCTCAGGCTCCTGCTAACATAATTACTTTCAGAAGTTTCTTGTGCATAATTCTTAAAATAAGTAATTCATGTAAAACAACAAATACGCATGGAAAGCATACATAAATACATTCATTCAATCATACATCACTCTGCATCTGCTTTACTAACTCTGTTTAGAGTATCTTTTTCTTGGCACAGAGCTTTCTTTTTTTTTTAAGATTTTATTTATTTTTTTATGTATACAACATTCTGCTTCCATGTATATCTGCACACCAGAAGAGGACACCAGATCTCATAACAGATGGTTGTGAGCCACCATGTGGTTGCTGGGAATTGAACTTAGGACCTCTGGAAGAGCAGCCAGTGCTCTTAACCTCTGAGCCATCTCTCCACTCCAGCACAGAGCTTTCTAATGCCTGCTAATACTCTGCCTGAATACACACAATTGTAAACACTGTTCATAACTGCTTCCCTATTGGATTAGTGGGCACTGTTTACATTTTTGATGTTTCCACACCATGCAGTGGTAGCACACACCTTTGATCCGAGCATTTGGAAGTCAGAGACAGGAGAATTTCTGTGAGTTTGAGGACAGCCTGGTCTACGAAGGGAGTTCCAAGACAACCAGAGCTGTTAATAAAGAAACCCCGCCTTGATAAACCAAAAAAAAAAAATAAAATAAAATAAAATCAAACATTTTTGATGTTTTCATATAAACATAAGCATACAGGTACGTACCCTGGCTAACATATTTGATAGCCAGGAAGAAAAATTTTTAGTTTTTAAGTCATAGGGAAAATTACAGGTGTTTTCTAAGAATGTTGAAACTTTTTGTCCAAGTGGGGCACAGTGGGGCACTTAGGAGGCAGAGGTAGGTGGCTCTCTGTGAGTTCAGAGTCAGCCTGGTCTACATAGTGAGACCCTGACTCAAAAATATTGATTGATTGATTGACTGATTGATTGTCAAAGCATGGCCAGCATTATGGCTCTACAGGTAAAGGCACTTGCCACCAAGCCTGTCGACCTGAATTCAATGTCTGGGATCCACAAGGTGGAAGAAGAGAATGGACTCTCTCAATCTGTGCTGACTTCCATATGTTTGCTATGCTGCACACATTCTCTTCCCAACAAGTAAATAAAGGTAAATGCTTTTCAAAACTTTGTCAAAACGTTAAAAATTGTCATAAAAAAATTTAAAAATAGTGGAACTAATATAAATTTAGTACAATGCACAGTAATTTAAAAAATTAGAAATGGGACTGGAAAGATGGCTTAGCAGTTAAGAGCACTGGTTGCTCTTCCAGGGAAACTAAGGTTCAGTTCCCAGCACCCACATGGCAGCTCCCAACTGGCTGTAACTCCAGTTCCAAGGGATTTGATGCCTTTTTCTGGCCTCCGTAGGCACTGCATGCATGTACTCCACACAATACATGTAGGTCCATGCTCACATAAGTATTTTAAATATTAGGTATGCCAACAGAGTGCTATTTCATTTTATTCCTATCACGTTTATAACAACTCAAGAATGGAGAAGTCCTGTATCGTTGGACATATACAATGAATGTCATATATTTTAAATTATGGAGAATTTAAAAGTTTAATATTTTTCTTTCAGAGTCCTCCTCCTTGAACTCCATCAACATGGACTTTAGAATCCATTTGGCTAGTTACAGAAAAATGATCTTTGTCGTGGATTAAACCTCATCCCTCCTACCCTCCTATCTGAATGTAAAAATCCTAACCTTTGCTAATTTAAAATATGATTGTGTTGGGAAGTAGAGCCTGAAATGTAATCAAGGTAAAATGAAGTCACATGAGTTGCTCTATTTCTGTATCCTTTTAAGAGACAGGACACAGACAACACAAAGTGAAATCTCTCATGTAAAAGCACAGCTAGAAGGCATCCATCTGTATATAAGCCAAAGAAATGAAATCTGTTGACACTTGATGCTGGACCTCAACTTTCAGAACCATGAGAAATTAATGTTTATTATTTAAGCTACTCAATTTCTGACCGACATCATTTGTCTTCTTTGTTCATTCTCCACCTTAAACTTTAAAAAAAAAAAAAAAAAAAGTGTTAGTGTCAGCCAGGCGTAGTGGGACTTGCCTTTACTTCCAGCACCCAGGAGGCAGAGGCAGGCGGATCTCTCTACGAGGCCAGTCTGGGCTACATAGTGTAGCCCAGAGCTACATAGAGTAACCCTGTCTCAAAAGAAAAAATTTAAGAAAGAGAGAGAGAGAGAGAGAGAGAGAGAGAGAGAGAGAGAGAGAGAGAAGGCCAGAGGACAACTCTGTAGACCTTAGTGACACAACTAGGCTGGCTGGTCAATGAGTTTCAGGGATTCATATGCCTGTGTCTGTTCCCCACACTCATCTAAACGATAGGGTCACAGATGCATCCCACCAGATCATTCCCCTCCACCCCTGACCGCCCTCTTTTACCATAAGGTTTCACTGTGTAGTATTGGCTAGCTTGGAGCTTGCTGTGTAGACCAGGTTAGCTTTGAACTCAGAGAGATCTACCTGCCTCTACCCGAGTACAAGGATTATTAAAGGCATGTGCCACCATACTACCTGGCCTGACAGCACTTTAAATGTGGAACTTTTATGTTTTCAGTCTTTTGGTTTCACTAAAAATGTAGCTGTTGCTTCATCTACCTTGTAAATCTTTGTGGTTTCCAAACGGGAAAAAAAAGTAAGGGAAGGAAATGTCACAGTGAAGCTCTTAAATGTTGCCACCATGTTCCTACTATAAGCCCCAAGTCACCTTTTGGGCCTTTTGCTTTTTTAACAAAAAGGTTAATTTCAGAAATCAAGATTACTATAAATTTATAAACATACTAAAGCATAGTCCCTAGAAACGTAGACTGAGCATACTTTACCAAAGCAGCAACTTTTCTATAGGTAAATGAAAGATCTATCCTACCCAGAATACTTAACTAATTGATTTGGAGTGAGAAAATGAACACCAGTTTTTACAAATGAAAGCAAAAAAATCTGGCAACTGCTCTTTTCATGATGATGTCTTTGGGGATCTAAAATAGCCCTGTTAGCTCAATCTTTTCTATCATGGTGAGGGAGGGGGAGCAGCTGGGTGTGGGAGTCCTAGTATAAAACTGGACTCCGATACATGGATATAGGGAGATCAGGAAGTTAGGGCCAGCCTCAGCTACACTAAGTTTGAGGGCAGAGTCAGCTATATGAGAGCCCTGCCTCAACAAGAAAAACCCACACACAACAGCCAACAAGAACGTTAATCCATTCTCCTCTAAAACTGCCTGAGCTGGAATTTGATCAAGGGAGGCAGACAGTGTCATTGCCTAGCTTCTGCAGTCCATTCTAGAGAGATGCTAAGTCAGAGGCATGGACACTCATCAGCAGATTGCTGCACACATGCCACTGAGTAACAAATAGCCGTGGATTCTAAAGCACTAACAATACTGAGCTGAGATATTGTTGAATTAACTGACCACCTAAAACCTGAAATGGGAACTTTCTCATGACCAATTAACCACATAATCAACACTCCATGCATACCTAAGTTCAGTTTCCTTTCCAAATTCTTCACCTCTGTTGTCATCAATTTTTAGCTTCTAAAATACTCTTCTCTACTCATTGATATACTTTGGAGCCTACTTTATGTAGCCTGGTTGCCACCTTTTCTTATTTATAGATTTTGTTCAACAGCCACAAAGACCATTTTGTTTCACTTAAAGCAATGTTAGCAGGATTTGGCTTTATGGTTCTTCTACAATTGAATAAAAACCCTACAGAAATATTCATATCTTCTCTCTAATCCAGTAAAAAGATAATTTCTATCCTCTACCTTGAAACAGTTTATAGTTGTGTATTTTTAGCTTCTGGAGAAAGTTTTGCAGGTACTGCTCTGACCCCTCTGTAAATTGTAAGCCTCTGTAGCAAGGGTCCAGCAGGATGTATGGCAAAGCCTTGCCTGGGCTCATGGAAGGTGGTGAACAGGCGGCTTGCTATGGCTTCCTTCAGTTACTTCAGCATAGTATTGATATCCACCATCTTTCTCCAAAGAAAATCTAAACTTTCTTGATGAAGATATAGCTCATGGGGACAATCTAGCTCAGTGCAGATAGAGTGCTCACCTCCCAGCACACCATATCAAAGGGTCTCGATGTGTGGAGCAGACTGCATAGTCACCTACTAGTCAACCAGTTCTTTCAATGAACACCTTGCTAAGTGCTCTCGTTTTTCACTGAGACGTTCTTTTGATGCCTAGTGAACTTGCTGGCATAGCTTCCACATACTATTCGACACTACCTGGCTTGGGATGGTCTTGTTCCCAATCAGGGCTTCCTGTAACTGAAGCATTTACACCATGCTTGAGCGCTGCCCTTATTCTACATCTCCCCTCTATTCAGATGGTCAGTGACCATGATGCCAACTGGGACACTAATGGAGGTCACCTAGGCTTCCCAACAGTCTAATTGCCTCTGAATTCTGTCACTGTCAGAATCAATCTATAAAACAGCTAAAGTACTTAACTCTGATAGTACATGCAATGAAGTTAGACCATGGATATAAAGGTTATCCAGTGAGTCAGGTACTGACTTCAGCATAGTATTGATATCCACCATCAATACTATAGGTCCAGCTACTTATCCATATTCCACAGATGAAACAGACCACACCACAGTCAGATCCCTCCATAATTATTGGTTCCGCACTGCCATATATAGCTCATACCTGGAATAGCCATGCCAGAAGGAATCAAGAACTCAGGCAACCTATTATAGCAAACACTGCCTACAAAGAATATGAACTGAAAGGCAAGGGCAACGGGTCAGCTACAAGGCTGTGAGTTGTTTTGTTTGTTTTTACAATGGGGTAAAAGCTATAAAATTCTTCAGCAGGGTCCCCGAGGAAAAAAGTTCTGATGACATGTACTCCAAAGTGTAGCATGGTCTCTGAGATGCTGGTCTTCAGTATGTGTCTGAGGAACTAAGGATATCTCAGGAAGTAGCTGGTACCCAAGCATGTGATCTCTTGTCCATATAGACAGTCTGACCACAGTACAAGCACACCATGCTAGTAGACTTTGCAGGCAAACAGAAAAGTGGTTCCACAGCTTTGAAGTCTTCTTGCTATTAACAGGAAATATAACTCGACTTTTTTTCCCTATCATTGCCAAGTCATCTAACTTGGTGGAGAACTTCCCACAGAAGCCAAAGTGGCAAGTGATAAGTTTGCCACATTTATAATGAGATTGCCCCTGGTTCCCAAACACTTCAAGGTAGTGTCTGTTCATCCACCATTATCAAACAGCTGGTGCCCACATGCCCTTTTCTCCCTCTCTGATAACAGCTAGTATTGACACACTGCCTTGAGACTGGGAGAGTGGGGGAGCTGCGAAAGTGTGCTATCACACTTCCCATTTCAGCCTTCCTCGTGACCTTATGTGGGATCACAGCACCCAATTCAAACCTTCATCAGTCCGTTACTGCTTGAGAGACCACACACACTCCCAAGGCCCCAAGAAGACTCATAAGATACCAATACTGGTATGTCTTCTGGGAACATCCCTAGGATTCACATGCAACGGCAGATTCTCAGTCTATCCTAGGACAAGAAGAAGGTAGAAGACCTCTCTAGGAAGTTGTCCTAGAGCCAGTGAGGGAGGAATCCCCTTCAGAAGGTGTGTGTGTGTGTGTGTGTGTGTGTGTGTGTGTGTGTGTGTGTGTGTGTGTCCAGGAACAGCATGCACACACACAGGAACAGGATGCCTGAGTCTCGTTTGCCCACCTGTAGCCTACTTTGATGGGTATATTCATTTCATGCATATAATGAAACACCATATAGCAAATTCTGTTTATGTTCATACTAACTCTTTCACAAAGCATGTACATAATGCTTTGTTGTTCTCCAAGAAATGCCTCTGGCTTTGAAACATTCTTTCTGTGGTTCTGTGCTGGTGGGTAGAAGACACTGGGTCATGGCTTCCATAGCTGTACCGTACTGCTGTACCAAGACAATAGCACCCCACAGTCATCCTTGTTATCAGCAGGTTGGTGTATTCCCGGCTTGCAAATGCCTACCTATCTCATTCCTCAGGCTCATTTTTAATGTGCTTTCTTTTCCAAACTCAAACTTGGAATACGATCAACATTTGCTTCCTTTTTTTGTTTTTGGAAATTCACTTAAATCAAAAACAAGTTTACTGATTACCCACCAGTGACCAACCATATCTTGGCTGTTTTATTATGTTAGCATCTTAGGCTAAGATGCTCATTTGTGCACCCAAACACTTTTTAAAACAACAGTTCCATCTTTTAGGCTGTTTCTAGGAATATGGCTAGCCATAACCATAAGTATCACTAGAAAGATAATATAGCTCCCATTTGCATACCGTGGAGCACAATTCTCTCCAGTTCTATTCAACATTTTGTGGCTTGGACATGGGTGCAGTACAGGATTCTGGTCTTACAGACAAGACCCCTGCTGTCTTGACAGTAGGAACATCATCTTGCATTTCTGTCTCCACACTTCCAGAGCTCTGCTTCCCAGCTCCCCACACTTCTCAAGCTCTACACACACCAGTGATCTGGGCCACACCCTCAATTTGTTCTTTTAGTAGTTTGTTTCTTACGTGGTATATTTTTTAAGTTCTTGTGATTTCTGAATTGCATAAAATGGTCTAAAAACTTGTTTAATGCTGATTCTGGATTATCTGTGTATTGTTTGTAGCAATATTTAAAGTTCATATTTCAAACAGAATATTTTGAGAGTAACTCCACCTACTAAGGGCTCAAAGTAAGCTAATTTTGATACCAGCCTAAGAAAACAAAATCAGGGAATTATGTCCATTGTAAAAAGCTGTATGAGTAAAATTCAGTTCATAAAAGTGCTTTTTAAACACAGTGTCCTGAGTACTGAATGCAAACAGACTTCACACAGACATCAGTACTAACCTTGCTGTCCATCAGGCATGGTCACAATGATCGGCTGGCCCATCCCACTAGTTGGAATGGAGTGCAAGTTTCCAAGCTGGATTCCATCGGTAACTATCGTGATGACTTGCTGACCCCCTGAGCTAACTACTTGCTGAATTGCACCATCCACAGATTCTGCAGTAACCACCTCCTCTGTGGCCACTACTAGAGGGGGGAAAGAAAATAACAATCATTGACTATGAACAGAAATTCATCTTTTCTTTGTCCGTGTCTTTCAGACAGGACAAGTTTTACCTGGTTTTTAAATGTCATCACCAATGGTGATATAGACAGCTATGTACACAGTTTACTTCAAGTCTCACAATTTATAATTGAGTTCCAACCACCTTTTGATGACTATATTTTAATAATCTTCTTTTTCACTTCTCTGTATCTTCTTTACACAAAGTACAATATAAGATCATTGATGGTATTAACAAAGGTTATAGCTTCTTAATAAAATTACACAATTTAAATGAGAACTTTATGATTATACTTTAGACACATTTATGTATCAAGGGATATGTAGAACAAACAGGAGTCCCTCTTGGACCAAGTGACCAAAGTCACTTGCAGAAACAGAGCTGGCACTATATGGCAATGTGTAATCCAACTTTTGTATAACCAAGCCCCAAAATATGCTCTCAACAATGTCTAAGAGGTGCTCAGAGATTTCTGACAGTTACAAACTTTGCCCTTGGCCTTGCCTAAGTTAAAAAAAAAAAAAAATCACAAGTTAATATTGTCAAAAATCCTGTCCCACAGGCAATCCTACACTGATCCCCCCAAAAAATGTGTGCTCATTGACATTCCTAACAGCTTTAGAGAGATAGCTATAAAGTAAAACTAGAAATAACCAAATACAGATTGGCAGTAAATAAACTGTGGTCATTATACAATGGGAATACAATAAAGTTACTAAAAACTATGTGTAAAGCATGGATGAAAGTAACAAAAACAGTTGTAAGCAATGAAAAACACATGTACTATCTATCTGCCTTCCTCTTATGAACTGAACAATGATTTCACCTGAGTGAACGTTTTTATAACTCTGTAATAGCACATTTAAAAGGGGGTGAAAAGGGGAAAGTTTTTGACAGAAGAATGACAACTGACACAGAAAAAGGAAGACTAAGAAATCGTTAGGATAATAGTTGACTCAAGCAAGTAGGTACCAACCACACTGGGGAAATGCTTTGGTGATCAGGATACTGAAATGTTTCCAAAGTACTACATCAAAGATTACTAGCATGAAGTGAGAGACTTCATGTATCTGTCAATAGCTGGTTTTCAAGCCATATCTGAAAAAAGGCTTGCCTTCAAGCTGGCGACAGTGTTATTTGGCCAAAGAGTCACAGAAGAAACCCACAATATCTCAAAATGCAAACAAACTTTTGCTTTGAGTATTCTTGTTACTTTGTTTGCCCTAAGCAATAATTATGCTTTGTTACCAAGCATGTAAGACAATTTCAGGAAATCAGTCACAAAACAAAATAGAGAGCACACAATAGCAATATATTCAATAGAGTAACTATTAAAGTTTTCAATGCACTAACTATAGTGCTTTGATTTTTTTTTAAAATATCCATATGAAAAAGAAAGGCTCACTGGTAGCACTATTTAAAAGCTTCAGCATATGTAAGATACTTCTGAGATCATACACAACCAAGGCTCAACTCAAGAACTTTTATCTTTGCACTGTTAGCAATGACTGTCATTAAAATAATAGTTCCTACCTTTCATCTAAAAAGCTCTTTTAAGAAAAAAAAAAAAAGCTCTTTTAAGTTCATGGTGGTAGAGTACTTACGAAAAAATTAAAAGGAAAACAATTATAAAAGACAAAGTACACATCCCAAACTCTGAGAACAATCTAATAGCCAAATGTTTGAACATGTAAGAAAAAAAAACTTAAAACTTTAGAAGGTTGTAGATACAAAGTGTGTGCATGTGTATACAAATTAGCTTAATAAAAAGTAACTGTAATATCATAAATATTCATTGATCTAATATAAAAGTTGGGCTGTAATGAGGAGAGGCAAACAATGACCGTGCCTTTAAGGTTGAATTACCATGCCATAAGTTGAAATAAGGTCTGCAAGAAAACATTCCTTGAAAACTACCAAGACTGAACACTTTTATGTAGAAATATCTACATGAAACAGAAACTACATTACAGAAAAATGTAACATTTTGAAGGTAGAATCCTATAATGTAATCTGAAATTAAGAACAAAGAAAAGTAAAACCAAACAGACTCACATGACCCAGTAACTTATCCCCTAAGACTAAGTAAGTAAGTTTCATTACCCTATTTTGGAACAGACCAAAAGCATAATGTATAAAAGTTTACTGGTACAAAATTCATTTTGAGAAAGAATTTTCAGTCATCACTGGACACTTTGTATCTTTCAAATACATCTAGCAATTACAAATTTTAAATACAAAAAGAAGGGAAATCATAGATTTATACTTAAACAAGGTATTATATAATTGGGCCATGGAGAAAAATACAACTAAGCAAAGAAAACTTGCAGGGCTACAGGCTAGAGTTCCAAAATAAAACTTTTATGAACAGCTATTGGGGGTGGGACGTGTGTGGTGAATGTGTGTGTATGTGTGTGTAGGCAAGCCAAGGAAGAGTCCAAGGCAAGTGTGTGTGTGTGTGTGTGTGTGTGTGTGTGTTTGTGTGTGTGCAGGTGTAGGGGTGTGTGTGTGTGTGTGTGTGTGTGTGTGTGTGTGTAGGCAAGCCAAGGAAGAGTCCAAAGCAGGTTGTCAGATGTCTTCCTCTATAGCTGTCTACCTTATTGACGTAAAACAGGGTGTCCCACTAGCTCTTGTAGACCAGGCTGGTCTCGAACTCACAGAGATCCGCCTGTCTCTGCCTCTGCCTCTACCTCTCCCTCTGCCTCTGCCTCTGCCTCTGCCTCCCAAGTGCTGGGACTAAAGGCATGCACCACCACCACCTGGCCCCAAGGCTCTTATTCAAGCTATTTTTACATTAAACGTTCTACCTAAAATAACTGAGCATGTGCCAACTGACTCCTGACTGAATTTCTTTAATGGCATGCATCTCAGTGACATAACCACCTAAATCTTTGCTCCATCCACACTCTTAATATCTCCCCTCCCCCAACTCACCCAAATCTTCATTATGATTAGAGCATTGAAATAAAATATCAAAATGTAAACCATCAATGAAATAAAGTTTTCTAGTTTTTTTTTTCTTCCCTTCTTTTTATTGGTTATGAAAATCAAACCCAGTGCCTCACGAACAATGAACACATGCTCTCCCACTAAGCTGCTACCAGAGCCCTGAAACTAGCTATCTTTGATGGCTTCTGCAAATCTAAGCACAAGCTAAAAATGCAGCATGTCAAATGGTGATTCCTGTAGGTGCTAATTCAGAAAAATCTTAAGACCAGCCAAGAAGTAAGAGAACACATGTATGTTTATCACTACTAATTAGCCAAAGAAAAGGGGAATTTTCTCTTTCCAAGTGAAAATTCATTTATGTCTACCTTAAATCTTTCTGGTTAAGACTCAATGACACCCTAGGTAAAAACATCACAGCATCTCACCCATAGAATATACAGTCAGTAAACTATCATTATTAGATTAATAAGATAATGAATTAAATATCCTCTCTCTCTCTCTCTCTCTCTCTCTCTCTCTCTCTCTCTCTCTCCCTCTCTCTCTCTCTCTCTCTCTCTCTCTCTCTCTCTCCTAGACAGGGTTTCTCTGTGGCTTTGAAGGCTTCCTGGAACTAGCTCTTGTAGACCAGACTGGTCTCGAACTCACAGAGATCCTCCTGCCTCTGCCTCCTGAGTGCTGGGATCAAAGGCGTGCGCCACCACCGCCCAGCCTGTTCTTTACTCTTACAAGCAAATATGATAATTTAAACTACAGTTAGAATAACATTTCTTAATGTTAGGGGGTGGGGTGTACATGTCTTTTTTTGTTGTTGTTGTTTTAAAATAAGGCTGGCTCTGAAGTAGCCATTCTGTCTCAGCTCTTGAGTAGGCACTATGGTATCTGACTACTTCAAGACTTTCCTAAAATTTTGAAATTAAAGAAAAATAATTCATTTACATAACAACTATTACAAAAGGCAATCTGAAGAGAATATAAAGTCAAATCATGTTGGAACCAACTATCTGCCAATACTTCATGTCATCATCTAAATATAACCCCATCCCACCCCACCCCTTTGAGTCAGGGTCTCACTATGCAGTCCTGGATAGCCTGGATGGAACTCACAGAGATCCATCTGCCTCCTGAGTGCTCAGATTAAAGTTGGGTGCCACCATGTCCAGCACACAAGGCACAGCTAACTCTTTTAACAGTATTTTTATACACATTTTCAGTCATTAACATTTTTCTAACATTCTTATGTAAGATTGCCAAAGTTGAATTTATAAAAATACAAATTTATATTTGTCTACTCTATTTAAACAAAAGTCACAAATGGGAAAAATAAATACATAAAAATTAAAAAAAAAAAAAACAAACCCAAGGGCCAAACTGGGCAAGCAAATGTTTTATATGAACCACACGTTTACTTTTCAATAAAATTTAGTTTTATTTAATGCATTTATTCTCTAGTTTTTCTCTTTTGTTTCCTTGAGATAGTATCTTACTATGTAGCGCAGGGTGAAAGAGAACTTGTGATTTCCCCTGCCTCAGCCTGGGATGCTGGAATTACAGGAGTACAGACCATGCCTTATTTAATAAGAGAGAAAGAGAGAGAGAGAGAGAGAGAGAGAGAGAGAGAGAGAGAGAGAGACATATAGCTTCCTCCCCACCTCAAGCTTCCCATGTAAACACAGGATCTGAGATAGGACACTTGACTGCACTTCCGGAGAGCCAAGCAATGGATGCCCTATTCTCCTTCCCATTAGCTGAGCACACTTTTATCCCACCCCAGCCCTCTATGTTACCTTCCTGGCCTCTGAAAGCACTCAGACGGGTACCTTTCCTTATTTATTTATTTTTAACAAAGATGGGATCAGGATATTGAGTCACACTGGTGGCTGATACAAAAATAAAAATCAGAACTAGCAACTTAAATTAGTAAGAAATAAGCAAGTACAAGAAATGCAGCCAACCAATTCTGAACAAACTGCAAAAGTAAACACAAATTTTAAGTGAAGACTCTTGAAGAAAACAAAACATTCTAATAAACTATAGAGAGGTTTCTGAACAGGATTCAAACAGTACTAACCACAAAGGAAAACCGTGACAAAGTAAACTATGAAAGGATCAAGTTGAACTTGAAGCACTCAGTATACAGGTCTGACTTGTTTTCTAACCTGGAGTTTCTGAAGAATTGGACAATGGGGCAGACGCTTCAGCTAAGGCAGCTAATGTAGCTAATACTGACGTAGAGGAGTTCCCAAACTGAACAGCAGATACTCCTGTTTCATCTAGGAGAAAAGAAAACAGAATTGAAATTTTAAGGTGCTTAACCCAAGGCATTCTGCTCATCTTCTACTTCTTCCCCAAGTCTTAACTGACACTGGGTGGCATCGGTTTTGGAAAGGTAGTATTGTCATGCATGTGTAAGACTGCCTTTCTTTAGATTCATTTATCTCAGAATTTTTTTTTTTTTTTTAAATAACAAGGAGACCAGGAGAGTGGATGTTACTCTTACCCTCATTCTCCAACAGTGCTTCCTTAAATTGATGAATGTGTATTAATGTTTAGCATCCTAACAGCTGTCCCACATGCATCTCAATACCTGTTGCCTTGGATGAATTTTCTGAAGATACCAGACCTGTTAGGTTCACCACCCCTCCAGGTCCAATGATGAACTGTGGTGTGGCAGTGTGTATTGTCACAGTGTCAGGACTCTCCGGGTTGGTATTGATTTGGTTCTGCATAGCAATCTAGGGAACAAATTATCACAATATTTTCAGAATCAGAGGTAGCACATCTGGGACAGGCTCCCAATGTAGTATATACATATACAGATGAAGACATAGTCTCTCTCAGAGACTTGTTAATGAAGCTCTGAGAGTGAAGTTCTAAGTATAGGTATGAGCTTATATCCTAAGGCCTTCTGTTGAGTGAGAGCAAACCTCACTAGAGGAGAAATTCTTTCAGAACACAGAGAAAGTATGTAATTAAAAATAGTCTATTGCTCTGTAGAATTATTTAACTCATTTCTACATTAGGCAATATATAACATGACATATTAAAAAAGTATGGCCTTCCCATTTAATTGTTCTCAATCTTTAAATCTCAACCCTTAAATTGTATTCCTAGATATAAAAAATGATGAGTCAATATAAAACATTATCTCCTGGCATATAGCACATTTTATAAGTAAGTTGTATAAGTTCAATGAAGTCAGGTAATCTAGAGAGTTCTACTGAGAACAGAACAAGAGGACAAGAAAGAAGTAATCCTGATTACCAGAAAAGCCAAACACAACTATGTCTACAAATAGTTGTTTTGTTTTTTACAGGGGGTGAAAAAAAAGAAAGAAACCAGAATAGACTATATCACAAAACCTTGGCAAAGTTTTGTCACTTTCAGTCAGATGTGTCTGCTTTGGTATTTACAGTTTTTGCCATTGAAAGCTTCAGCCATATTTGAGATGCTGAGGGAAAAGACAGCTTCAGGAGGAGGGGGCTGCCTGGGAAAATTCCCAAAAGCTGCACCATTAGAAAAGGGATGAAAGGAAAAGGGGTCAAAACCAAGCTGTCAATCAGCTCATCCCATAAACTAAAGTGAACCTTTCCATTCTTATTCCTGGGCATCTAAGCTCAAACAAATGAAAACCCTGATGGAGAAACATACAATTTTTCTAGATCCCAACTTACATTTTAAAAAATATAAACACATTAATGTTAGACAAAGTAGGTTTAAAATAAAGATGGGGATCAGGATGGTTCAGTGGATAAAGGAGCTTCCACAGAAGCTTGAAAACCTTAGTTCAGTCCCCAGAACCCACGTGAAGATGGAAGTGACTCCACAGTTATTCTCTAACCCACACACACACACCTGCCCCACACATCACGCACACACAATACCTTTTAATTTTTTAAGCAAACAAACAAAAAAAAGATTTAAAAAAAACAGACTGCATCACTCATCTAAGGGACATTAGTTACCAAGTCTTAATGAAGTAGTTTACAATTATTTTGATAAAATGATATCCAAATGTGCAACAAAATAATAAAAATGACTAGAAAGGGAATTCAGAAACTGAAAGCACAGAAGGTTAGCGCCTCATCTAACCTTCTAGAGTACGAACAATAATGAACAGAGAGGAAGTAGAGAGAACAAGGCCATTCAAAAGAACTGAATCCAACAGGAGAAGCTACAAGACAAAGAGCACCCATCTGCAAGCTGCCTTTCATGTTTCTTAAACTCAAAGCCAAGTTACCTGTAATATCTCTGCTAAATCTTCATTTCCATTGTCTATTGAAATATCAAATGCAGTTTTACAAAATTTACTCTGCGTGTGTACATCAGCACCATATTTGATTAAAAGTTCCACCACCTCTTGATGATTATGTTCTGTCGCCCAATGCAGAGCTGTCATCTTTAACATATCCTTTGCATTGACGTCAGCACCATGCTAAAAAATATTTCAAAATCAGTAATATTTCAAGATATGAAATGTAAAGAATCCCTGATATGAAAATATCAGCCACAATGCTTCTAAGCAAGAAAAGGCACCATTATTTTTTTTGGGGGGGGGAATTAAATATTTGTTATTAATCATCACTTATCTGTGATTCAATCATTTTACTAACATGCTGGTTTTCCCAGCTACTTTCCTTCTAATTTCTTGAAATAAGACAATTATGTATTCAGTTACTTGGTTAGGGGCACAAAGGGCTGGAGAGCCTTACAGGTGAAGGGCAGCGCTGACTTTCTCCAGAACTCGTTAATGGTTTATGGTGGATGATCCTCTCATCCCTCATAATTAAATATACCCTTTGCTTTCAAAACAAGCAGGACCTAAGAAATCAGAAGGAAGCTGTCTAAGGCAGGGCCTGATATGCCAGGCAAGGTGTGGCTAGCTACTGAGCAAACTTCAGCCAGTCAGGGTGCAGGTGTGCTCTGTATAAGTAAGGCTGGAGTTCAATAACAAACAGAATATGAAACATCTCAGCAATGATCTCCATTCTGCTCTCATGTTGAAATGATGTTTTAAATGCACTGAGTTAATTAAATATTAAAATGAGTTTTCACTTTTTAATGTGACTTTAAAAATACCTAGGATTACATATAATTTGTACTCTAGACTTCCTTACATTTCTTTCAGATGGGTTCATCTACAGGCTAGGATGAAAGGGGTCAAGAATAAAGGCTGTCACTCTGCCTCAGGATCTTCTGTGTGACCCTTTGACACTGAGATGACTGAAGATAATTTAATTGTTAATCTGCTTGCTAACTATCCAAGACTAATCTTCCCTGCATAGGATTCTGAAGTATGAAGGAAGTTTTTCACCCAAAGGACTGACTTTCAATGGTTGACAATTAACTGAGAATACACCTACAGGACGGTTTTCCCCCTTCAAAGAAAACCTGAAGGCAGTATTCATTTGACACTTATACACATCTCTAATAAATGCCCTATCAAAGATAAAACAAAAAGTAGGTACTTAATAAAACTCTTCCCCTTTCTCATCCTACAAAGTTTGTATGGGGTTTGGATTCAAAATCTAAGTTCAAAAGAAAAGACATACCTTAAGCAAAACCTCTACTATGCTGGCATGGCCCTCAGAAGCTGCCATGTGCAGTGGTGTCCGGTCCACTTTGGTCCTGGCATCCCTACTTACACCGGCTCGGAGGAGTACCTCTGTGGTAGAGTAATGCCCATACTGTGCGGCCAGATGAAGTGGAGAAGTTCCCAGCTATAAAATAGGAACACACACATACATGTGTACATACAGAAAAAAAAATTGCAGCTTTTAGTTGCTTTTTAACATACAAAACTATATTTTTAAACAGTGACGTATATTACATTGTGTACATAGTAATTCAAGCATCAAAAGAAATGACTCAACTCAGGCTTATGTTCACAGAAGCCCTCAAGAGGTCCCATACATGTATTAGTGTAGAAAAGCCAATGGTTCCTTTAATTAAAATTCTCTTCTTCTTGCTCCTCCTCTCCCTTTCTCTACTTTTAGACAAGGCCTCAAACTTGACATCCCATCCTAAATGCTGGGATTATACCATGCCTAGCTCTTTGTTACTAGCAGAAAAACAACTTGAATTAATTGTGTTCAAAACGAGAGGTAATTATGACCTGAGAATGAAGAAGAGCCTTGTATCAGAGGCATGTCTCTTAGTAGGTGAAGTTTAGGTTACATTATAGATGTACTCTATGTTACATTACGCATGCACAAAAAAGCCCACTAACTGATTGCCAGTCAAGATGTTAAAAGAGATATGCCACCAGAACATGAAATTTGCTAGGCTGCCACTGTTAGACAGCAACTGTTTAGTTTTTAAGTTTGTTTTAGATTTATTAATATTACTTTATGTGTATGAATGTTTTGTCTAAATGCATGACTATGACATAACCCCTAGAACTGAGGTTATAGAAAGCTGTGAGTCACCAAGTGGGTACAAGGAATTGAACCCAGGTCCCCTGCAAGGACAAGTATACTCAACCACTGAGCCATCTCTCCAGCCCATCACCTTAGCTTTCAAATTACTTTCTATGGACCATATTGTTCTAAGACATCCGGTTATTGGTTTACAGCACAGATACTATTACTACCTTGATATGCCAGTAAAGGCGCCTAAAGTAGAGAGGTCACCAATTTGTTCAATGTTACAAAAGTGACATAATACAAAGCAAACCTTAGAAATAATTATTTGATTACAACAACAACAAAAAAATTATTTTATAGAGGCTTTAACAGACCCTCACAGATCAATCCTTTTTTTCATGCTTCGTTGTATTTTCATGTAACTGGCCTTTTTCTGCCCTCAAATTCTATATTTAATGAAAGCCTTTAACAGTCTGTTGAACAACCACTGAGATTTCCTCAGTGAGGTACTGAGTGAGGTCCACTCTGGATTTCTGTTGTTATCCCAGAGACTTTTTCCTTTTTGGTTCACATGTAACATGCATACTTACACATCATTTCAAGAATAGTTAAATGTCTGTAAAGCCAACACCAGAGTCTGGAAGGAAAACCTTTCTAGTAATTTTAAATCCTCCTACATGTTGTTCCCTGATCACAAGCCCTTCCCATAAATGCTACTCAAAACAAAACTGGTTTTGGTATGCATGTGTGTGTATGTAGTGTGAGTTCTAGGGATCCAAACCAAGATCCTCATGCTTTCATGGCAAGCATTTTACCTACTAAGCCATCTCCCCAGACCCTACTCAGAATTTTTTGACAAGCATTGTTTTAATTTCTATCAATTACAAATCCTTAAATGGAACATTTGGTTCTTCCTGTTTCGAACTTTACTAGACTCCTACCACGTGTACTTCTGATTTGTCTATTGCTAATATTATGTTTACAAGATGCATTCATGTTAATGGGCATAAATGTAGCACACTAACTTTCCCTACAATATTCTACTCTATGAAAAAGCTGGAACTAATTCAACTAACCAAATGATGAACACTGTTTTATTATAAACAATTCTGCTACAGAGAGGCTTCTATTATCTCAAGCACATAAAGAAGAGTTTATTCTACATTCTCGAAGCTCAACTGATACAAATGGCATATACATATTAAAATTTACTAAACACTGTCAAACTGTCCTCCAAAACGGCTGCATCAATTCACCTTGGTACCATTTCCTCACCAAGGCTAGCACTCCAGACATCACTTTGCTAACCTAGTAGATGTGCCAAATAGCTTCTGACTTTACTTTTCATTCACTGGCGAATTTGAACACCATTTCATGTTTATTGGCCATTCTAACTTTATCTTGGTGAAGTACTCCTGGGCATCTGTCTGTCTGTCTGTCTGTCTGTCTGTCTGTCTGTCTGTCTGTCTGTTTGTCTGTCTGTCGGTCTGTCTGTCTGTCTGTCTGTCTCTGACCCACAGGGCCTCCTTATATGCATCCTTTGAACACTAATCCTTGTTTATAATCCTTCTGCCTTGATATACTACATCATCATGATGACATATCTATTATGCATTTTCTTTAAAAACAAATTGCTTTCCTATGTGTATGAGTGTCTGCATGTGTGTCTGTGCACCGTAGGAATGCAATGCCTGTGGAGTTCAGAAGAATCCTCTGGAACTGGAGTTTCAGGCAGTCATGAGCTGTCATGTAAGTGATGAGCAATGATCCCAGGTTCTCCTTAAGGGCAACAAGTGTTTTTAACCAGAGATAGCTCTCCAGCCTCAAAAGCATACATTTTCAACAAGTTGACTTGCTATAAATTTGTGGGCACTAGCCCAAGATTCTAGGCAACTGCACTTTAAACTTCTTCACCTTGATCCACACTTGTTTTGAGGGTCTACTAATACTGACGAGTGCTGAGCTATTTCTAGCTTTGTTACTGTGGATAACATTAACCCACACTCATTTTGTAGGTCATGGTCATGGTATCTCTCACAACTCGTGATATCCCATTTTCTACAGTGTATCTACATTACACCCTGGGTTTCCTACCATCGGTTCTAAGTTGTCTACAGTTGTCTCTAACTTGTTGCTGAATTCTTTCTTCATCTACAGTCCTCAGCAGGGCTGTTTCTGCTGTCAGGTTCTTTCAGTAAGGCATTCAAGCTGCTTTGTGTTTGAGTGTTAATACTTGACTACTTACTTTCCTTGCGAGATATAAAGCTGGGATTTAAAAAAGTAGGTTCCTCTAGGAGATGTGCAGTTGCTTCTGCCAAGGACATAGGTGAAAGAACCTTAGCCTAGTGCAAAGAAACTTTACATATAGTCCTCAGCCTATAGTTTCTCAGATACACAGGTTATTGTGAATTCAGGCTTCAAATGAACAGGACATTGTATCTTGAATTCTGATTGCTCTTAATAATAAAAACCCAGAATCTGATATTGGGATAAATGCTGAAAGATGAAAGAAGTAAAAGAGCCAGCCATCCCCATTTAGGCAGCCATAACAGCCTAACACGTGCTTGCCTGACCTTGCCTTGGTCACTAGCAAGTCAGATGCCGGCCTCATGGCAAGGAACCAATCAGAAGTTAGTTGGTGGTGCTATGCCTTATGGCTCTGGGTGTGCTTTATGGACAAGTGCACAGCAATGATGTGCAGAGCATAGCAATCGCCCTGGGAGGGCCTATGGGCCATAACAACCAGTTGGCCAATCAACACAGGACAAGTCCTCTAAGCCTGGAGGCACACCAATCCAATGTGTGTACCCCTAGACACTCCCCTTACGCTACACTATAAGATCTCTATCCCATGGCTTCTCGGAGTCTTTACCCAACCATCCGCCATTGTGGATGGATGAAAGGCCCAAGCTAACATGGGGTTAGCTCGTTAAACAACGACAATAAAAGACTTATTGCTTTTGCATCGAAAAAAAAGAAGAGTCAGCCACAAGAGATACCTTTTACCTCTACTGAATCCTCAGACCAAAGGGGCAATCCTGTCCCTGTGAATCCTCATAACTAATGCTGTCTCTATGGAACCTCAGACTTGAATGTCAAGAGCTTCTGTCTCCTCCTGCCTCATATTCCTCTCTCTACCTAGCCATATCATTCCTGTCTCCTCCACATCCATAGTGCTGGGATTAAAGGTGTGAACCACCACCACCTGGCTCTGTTTCTCTTTTAGACTAGATCAGTCTCATGTAGCCCAGGGTAGCCTTGAACTCACAGAGATCAGCCTGCCTCTGCCTCTGCCTCTGCCTCCCCCGAGCACTGGGATTAAAGGTGTATGCCACCACTGCCTGGTGTCTATGGTTAACTAGTGCGGCTAGCTCTGCCCTTTGATCTTCAGGCAAGTTTTATTGTTAGATCACAAATAAAACATCACCATAAGACATGGCTTGTGATTCCAAATTCTCTTCAATAAACTTTCCCTGAGCTCCCCCAATGCCAGTTAACATCAGGTCACTTATTTGCAGTGCCCCACAACAAGAGCAGGGAGAAGATAGGGAGAGATGGAATTCTGAGATAGCCTGAATGTCCCAAGTGCAGTTCTTGAAATTGTCCCCCAGAGTTAGCCCTTGGAGCACTCCCAGACCTTTGTCTTCAGTATGAGGACAAAGTGAGCTGAGGAAACCAACAAGGAAATATAAAATGCAGCAACTGGTTCTTAGAGAATGAATTCTCTGGATTCCAGCTTATATTCAATGTTTTGGGTTCACTCTTTGTTCTTAGCAAAGCACTCAAGATTTCCTTGAAAATCTTTAGTGAAAGAGTCTTAAGTGATACAGACAAATGCTAAACTACTTATAGATCAATTCCTGGGATTTGCTTTAAAATAAAACAAAGAAAGTTAATGGAGGAACAAGATTTAACATAATTTTGTGGTTTTTGAAGTTGGATGACAGGTATGCAAGAGTTAATGTTTGTATGAAATTTTCCAAAACAAACAAAAAGAATTTGTTTTACATGAAAATTTTAAAAAGAACAAGGAATACAATTAAAAATCAGAATTTTCTGTTGTTATCAGCAACACAGCTAGTGCAGATCTCTAACCCTCTATGCTCCTAAGACCATCCCTTTTGCCTTACCCTCAGAAATGAACATGTATGTCTTCTGCCTTCTCCACACTACCTTATATACTGCAAGATACTGTTTCCTTTCCTTTCTTCCTATTTGCTCACATCTTTCTTTCTAAAGACAAGGTCTTACAGGAAGCTCTGGCTATCCTTGGAATTCACTATGCAGATCCACATGCCTCTGCCTCCCTGGTCACATTTCTTACAATTTCACAAGCAGCAACTGAAATGCAAACTTTTTTTTTCAGGAGCAGTTATAACTCCCATCTTCATTACTTCGTAAATTATCAATTCCCTCCCTGTTAGTTACAGTATATCTGAATTGAATCCAAACTATATATAGTCACACCAAACTAGTATAGTCCAAAGTCTTTAAAATAAACAACCTTTATTCATAGATATTGATCGGATAAGACTGTCTATAATCAAGAAAATAATATGAGCAATGCATTCATTTAAAAGACAGCTTAATTAGGGGCTGGAGAAAAGGCTCAGCCATTAAGAGCATGTACTTCTGTACTTCTCTTGCAAAGGTCCCAAGTTCAGTTGGTAGCACCCATGTCTGGTAATTAACAACTGCCTGTAACTCACTCCAGGGAATGCAACCCCTCTGACTTCACAGGCACCTGCACTCACATGAACATACCCAGACACATAAACAAATTAAAAATTATAAAAATAAATCTTTTTGAAAGGTAGCTTTAATTATAAAATTTGAACAAATACCATCCCAAAAGTGAGTATGTGTATATTACATCATTTATAAGCATACATACTGGCTAAATTTTTATCTGGGAAAAAGGGAGGAGAAGCAAAAGAGGAAGAAGAAATAAATCAACTCTACAACATAAAAAAATCACTCTTTACCCAGTCTGTCGTAAAAGGAGCTCCATTTGCCATCAAAATACGAACTTCGTCATCTTGACCTGCTCGTGCCGCTTCTAAAAGCTTCTTCCCCAAATCTACCAGGGACATCTAAATGAAACACATGAAGTGATATCAGAATCGCCATTATATACTATGAAATGACTTCCCCCTCATTCCTAAATCCATTCTCAGTTATTCCTTCAAATGTGCTATGGTTAATCTAAAAATAATGATCACACAAAGCAATTTATGTTTTGATTCTTGAAATATATTTCTTTTCTCACTAAGTTTTTACCTGAGTAAAACTGGTTTAAATTCTTCATATATGGCCAGTAAATGATAGATGATATAAAGCAGCAGGTACAGTGAGCCTAAGAATTAAAAGTGATATCTATTTTTATTGCAGCCTGGTAACATTTTTATAAAAGTAAAGTTAAATAAAGTACAAGATATTGTCCTGTTACTGATACAAGCTAATCTACCCAACCTTTTCCAAAATAGTAAGTGTGCTCAAATTCTAAAACAAATGTCTTCGAAACTGGTGCAAACAGTACACACTTAAAAGTCTTCCAGAAAGGGGCACAGTTCACATTCCATGCAAGTACTAAAAAGAAAGTTGATCTTATGAGCAGGACATATGTCTAAGACTACAAAGAAGCCAGACAGTGGTTGTGCACACCTTTAATCCCAGCACTCGGGAGGCAGAGGCAGGTGGATCTCTGTAAGTTTGAGGCCAGCCTGGTCTCCAGAGCAAGTTCCAGGACATCCAAAGCTGCACAGTGAAACCTTTTCTCAAAAAACAAAACAACAAAAAAGAATCTACAAAAAGATTTATCTTGCATTCAAGAATTCTCTAAAGACTAATGTCCCAGTCAAAGGAGGAAGGAAAAAGAGGGAGGCAGGAAAGACAGACAGATGTATGTGTCAGAAAAGACCAAGACAGGAATCCATAGGTGAACACAGACTTGAACTGGTCACAGGAGCTCATATTCCAGGGATGGTCAGTCTGAGGAGTGAGAATGTTTCTGATCCAGAGCTTAGTCTGTGATACTGTAGAAAATGCTATGGAAAGAGAACAGGGAAAACTGTAGTTCTCTGGGGGAATCTTTTAAGATTTAATAAGAAAAAGATGCAACTGGGATTCAAATTTGTCTAAAAAAGAATACACTCACAAGGTAAAAAGTCATAAAGGAGAAATGAACCATGGGGCAGGAGTGACTTTCGTGAATAGCTGTCACTCAAGAAGAGCAGGCAAAACAATGACATGGCTTGAAAAGGTTATTTCTTCCAGGAAGGGATAAAAACAAAAATGCTATACTTAGAAGAAGACATGTGAGAAGGTACAAAAGAGATAGCTATAAGAAAAGCTAACTTCTGGAAAGAACTACACCAAATTATCTGATGTTTTAGTAGAACATGCGATCATCCATGCCAAACACAGGAATAACACAGAAAGCCATGTACACATCTGTGGTGTGCACAGATGAGATTTCTTAGGCATTATTCTATGTGCAACAATAAAAGGATTCATAACATACCCTGTGGTGAAGAATGAGAAAACTAACATATGCAGCTGTAGAATTTTTATGGATTTTTCTTCATGTGTTTTTGCTTGTTTGCATGTGACATTTGCAACATTTCCTTTACCTTTGACCTTCTAATTTTCTTTCCCTCTCCCCCCTCCCATTTTTCTCAGTAACCCAAGGTCTTCAATCCTGGCACACACACTGAACTTCTGACCTTTAATAAAGGTCTTTCCTAGACACCATGCAGAAGCTTAACAGTAAACATCACCATCACACTCAAAGGCAGTAATTCCTATTAAAGACAACATAATCTTTAAAAAAGAAAGGAAAAGCTAATCACTTTGCTATAGAAGTATAGAAAATTCAAACTATTGAGCACAGTATCTATACTATAAATGAACCAAATTTCACTTAAATCTGTCTCCAAAATGAAATTTATCTTTCAGATAAGCATTTTAAAATGTTGTTTACAATGTCAACACTTTACAGTGTTTATACAGCCAGGTGAATCCATTCAGCATACAACAGTGTCAGACAGAGAAACATCTGGAGCCCACCTACAATGTACCAGACTAGAGTTTTCTCATTCTGAAATTAGTCTGTCTGCTTTTTACAGGATAGTAGATCCTTTGTCAAACACAAAATTATCAGTAACTCCTTTTCAAACCCTGATTTCCTGACTATCTCATTTTCTTTGATCACATACTATCTCTTCTATGCATAGGTAACTGTGAAACTTCTACATATTCAAAACTAAAAGTCAGTCTTGGTGACATATGTATATATATATATA